CTCTCCTATTTGAGTCACTAAAGTACCAAAAGGATGAAGAGAAGTTATGGGCCAGCGCTTAATACAAGCCTGTTGGTAAATATAGAATATAAAACATCCATAATGTGTATAATTTTACGAATAAGTATAAGCAACCAAAATGTGGCTTCCAAACCGATAATATAAATTAAGATTTTAATTTCAACTTACGACAAACAATTGTTGAGCATAAGATTGATGATTTTCGACGAAGTCATTTGGTGCTTGTTCAGTTGGAATGGCAATTAAAGGTACGCGTTTGTCTGTCTAATAATAGACCAACAGGTAAAAAAATAATGTATTAAACAAAAAATAAAATTTATTATATATATACCGGTTTAAACCAGACAATTTTTGGACGCTCATTTTTATCGTCTTTTTTCTCCTCTCGGGGCTCTTCCACTTTAGGTTCAATACCAGCAGCTCTATCTTCGGCTTCTCTCCGAGCCTTTTCAGCTGCCTCCCTTTCTTTAGTTGCAGTGGATGACGGTCTTAAAAGAGCAAGCGTTCTATGTGAATTAATATATATATATGATTAATATACAATTACCGATAGTAAGCAGAGTGCATACATAATATGGATGTAACAAATTTTAAGTCACACAATTGAATATTAATTATACCCGGAAAAAAGCTGTCCTGGCATTCGTTCCATAACTGCAACAACATGACCACAGTATTTTGGCCTCTGTTCATCTGTAACAATGTCGTCATCCTCGAAAAGCAGAAGACCTTGCCCTTCAACTTCAACGTCGTCCTTCTTTTTATCAATTTTTTTTTTGTCGATTCCGGCGCTTTCTTCTTTTTTCCTTTTTTTTTCTTCCTTCTCTTTTTTAGTTTGCCAAACTTTATCGGGATCTAGTAATTCTACTGCGACAACATCACCTTCTAATGCACGATTCCTATCCTTGGATCCACATATGTAGATATCAGCATCGAGTGACTCGGTAGAAACATAGGCATCAGACCGATTACGTTTATTGATTCGTAAAACACCGGAAACAAGCTGGCAACTTTTAAGAAGTGGAGGTAGAGAGGCTTGTGGAAGATAAGGTGCAAAGAGAGATTTCCTTTGTTGCTGATTGTTAGAATTTTGTTGATTCTGTTGTTGTTTCTTCTGAATTGCACCAAATTTAGGTATCGGAAATGGCTGGAATGGTTGAGCTAAGGCAGAAAGGGGCGAGGCAGCTGAGTATTGTTGGAATAACAAATCACATCACATTCATTATGTTTATAAAGAGCCAATTTCTTAAATTTGGTCTGAAGGAACGTTTAAACTAAAACTTCGAAAGGCTGTCGCAATTAATGTATCAGTATATTTATCACTTACTTGATCTCCAGTTGCCTTCAAAATTTCTGGAATTGCTACGGCGATGGCCCTTCACTTCCGGTACAGCAAGTCTGCCTTGGTTCTTTTCAAGTTCTTTAAGCACATCCTTGCTACCATTAAGAGCTACACTGTGGCGTCGACCATGCATAGGAATATTAGGATTAACAATAGATGTTGAAGACGAAGAGGTAGATAACGTATAACCAAGAGATTGATGACGACGATGGGTCTTCTTCGTATTTAGTTGACGTTGGTCGTCCGTGGGTTTCTTGAAATCAAATGGAGACTTTGGAGAATCAAATTCTTGCTTTTTATCGATACTAGACTGTGCCATGTCGTCAGGATTAGGAGATTTTCTATTCATAGAATTCTTTTTACGCCGTGTTTTCTTTTCTTCTTCAGTCTCATCTTCTTCTTCATCTTTTTTCTTATCACTTTCTTTTTCTTTCTGAACTTTGCCTTTATCAAGACTCATGCGCCTCAATGAGGAGATAGTGTCTTGCAAAGCATTTTCTATGTCAATAGGTTTACCATCTTCTGAATCAGGGATAGACTTTAATGAGGTAGTAACTGCTGTTGTCAGAGGGAATGAAAATGATACTGAAGTACCCTTTTTATGTTGCTTAGAAGGCGCATTAGTCCGCTTTCCTGTACCAGATGCATTCGACTCGTGAAGTTTATGTTTAGAAGCAAAGTCAGCGGAACCATCATCACCATCTTTTCTTTTTTCTGACTTTTGAGACTTAGATGGAACTGCCGGTAAACTTTTGAGACTAGCAATAATTTGCTGCAAAGATTCTAAAGCTTCTGATTTGTTTTCAGAATCATCTTTACTACCTTTAGATTTACCATTCCCATTTTTTGAAGAGACACCCTGAAGCTCCCCAACGTTTGCCATTGATTTACCGCGGCGATGAACGGACTTATCAATATTATTGTTATTAGAATTTTTATTTTTGTTTGATATGTCGGAAGTGTTAGCAGTTGACTTTCGACGTTGATGTTGGGCAACATTTATATCTAATACTTCGGCCTCTTTATTTTTAGATTGATCGGACCCATCTGTGGAGGGGGTACGGTTCTTATTTCCCTTTTTTTCCTTTTTCTTTTTTTCATCGACGTTGTCGTTACTATTATCATCAGAAGTTACAGTAGGTTTGTTTGCTTTGACTTCTTTACCGTCGCCCTTAGATGAGCTTTTCCAGTTTTGTCGATTTTGCTTTTTGCGAGCTTGCTTTTCTGCGGAATCTTCTTGCATTAAAGCCGCGTTTTCATTGGAAGTAGTAACGGACAACGTTTCGTTAGCTAATGACGAGGACCCTTCAGTAGTATTCGTTTCGCTCGACATGGTTGTGTCAAAATAATAATCTTTTCCGAAAATAGGTCGTAATAAATTTTCTTTTTTTTTTTAGATTCCAATATATAATGAATATAAAGGGAGTGTCACAACCAGGTTCAGAGATTAAGGAAAGAACATTTGGGATAGACACAAACTATGTGGGACGTTACGAGAAAAAGAATTCGAAACGAAAGAATCACGAAAGTATGTGCAAAGGACCAAAGTAAGAAATGGTGTTGGAAAAAGAAGGTATGTTGTCTCCTTGAGTGTGACACTTTGTCGGAATTCGTCGGATATTGATTCTGAGTACATGCACAAATATTGTAAACTATTTAACTATTGGCACAGTTTACACATGACTAAAAATCGATTGTGATAAATTATTTGTTTAAAAAAGAGGCTTTAAGTCATGACATTGTGCCACTAACTAATATAAAGATTTAGGCTCCTCAAATGAAAGCCTCAAGTCCCACAAAAAAAGTTATAACTATATACAAATAATGAGTTCGTTTTACCCAAATAAGTACTTAGATTAATATAAGAAGAATCGGGTTTTAATAACAAGACGCACAAAAGAAACCCAGTAACCTATATAAATATGTTGTGAAATGCTTCTTTGAGATATATAGGGTAGATTTGCATTCAATCTTTTTTTTGTGTAGCGCTTTGAAGTTTATAACGATAGTGAGAAGTGTTACAAAACTTATCCGACATGTCTTATATGAATACGATTTTTGACTCACCTCTTTTAAGAGGTGAACAAGTTGCACAAAAATCGTTCGGTATTCAGATAGGACATGTCGGATGAGGGTGTCATTGGTCAATTTTTGTGGTCGATAATCGCTGATTTCTTCACGGCTAATCTATTTTTTATAGAAGGAACCCAAAACTTCCTGGTCGGAATGCGTTTTTTTTACTTAATAAATGACCATGACTTCAATTGACTCGACCATATCAAATAATCAGGTATTATTTTTTTTTTTTTTACTTTGATAACCTCGCACGAATTTATTAGAGTATGTACGTTTAGAAAACTAAACTATCTAAAATCATATTTGGCTAATACCCGGCTGCTATAAAAGTGCCCAAGTATGGTATCGCACTGATGTTTGCCAACAAATTCCACATGCGCTGCTACACACATTTAAAAACTTGCTATAGCATGGTACTCAGCTACCTTTGGCCTTCAAACTTTTCCTACCTAGGTCTGGGCAGAATAGTTTATCTCTTACATTTTCATAAGGGAAGAAAATATATGCCAAGTTTACAAAAGAAAATTACAGGTATAGAATCAACAAAAAAGAAAAAAAGAATTAATTTTCTAAATTGAATTTGATTATAAGTAAATAGAGATGAAACAAGCAAAAGCCAAAATAAAATAAAAAAAACAAAAAATAAAAAATAAAATAAAAAAGAAAAATATATACTATTAAGCCTATGTACTAGACTAAAAAATTATATACTAAATGTAACACTTGTATATCTCTGTTGTAAAGCTTTGCCTTAATGTAAAAACTTCTTTTCGATATATAACCAATTTTGAAAATGATCAAGATCTAAATACTAATCTTTTAGAGTAGTACTATGTCTGTGAATATAACCAAACAAAACACATGGTTGCAATCTACTGAATCATCTGAATTTAAAAAGAGAAAACAATGCCAATCTTTTGACAGATGTAAGCTGTTTTGTCTACTTTTTATGAAAATTTTGTAGGAAAAGCAAGTGAATAATAGTGTAAAAAATAGCCTTTATACTTTTCTTTAAGAAATATATATTTTTCTCTACAAGTAGTAAAATATGTAGACTGCTGCTTTTTTTGTCAGTAGATAATAAACCCTAAACTTGTTAGCAAGTAGTGTATGAGAACTATTTCTAAATAACTAGTGTTATCTTCATGGTAAGTAATAAGCTCTAAACCTGTTAGCAAGTAGTATATAAGAACTATCTCTAAATAACAAGTACCAGTTTATAATTTTTATTAGTTTTGAGCCATTCTTTGCTACTATCCCTTAATATTGTTATAGAATAGATTTTTAGTATTAGCTTCTTGAATGTATAAATATTAGTATAATTATTATTTTATCATAT